GAGTAGAACTACCCCATAGGGTTTCCAAGGAGCAACTGGTGGACTTGAACTGCTGACCTTTTGGTTAGCAGCCATAGCTCTTAACCACTGCACCACCAGGGCCTCAGGTGACAGGTAGGATGCAATTATTGAATGCCTATTGTGTGCTGGGGAAACCCTGGTGACGTAGTGGTTAAGAGTTTCGCTGCTAACCAAAAGGTCAGCAGTTCAAATCCACCAGGTGCTCCTTGGAAACCATACGGGGCAGTTCTACTCTGTCCTATAGGGTCCCTATGAGTAGGGAAACCCTATGGAGCAGTTCTACTCTGTCCTACAGGGTCACTATGAGTTGGAATCCACTCAATGGCAATGAGTTTAATGGTAAGATAGGCACCGACCTGGATGTCAAGCTGCTTAAAACAAAACTGCCAATGCAGATTATACATGCATTGAATTTCTTAAGAACAGATTTAATGCCACATGTTACTATGGGCTGACTAAATACCTAAGTTCAGGAATCTATATGACAAAGCTGTGATGGATAGCGGATGAGAAAAATTTGAAGGAAGGAGGCTTAAAGACACAAACTTAGAACTAATAGGATTTGGTGGGCTTGGGAGGGCGAGAATAAATGCCTATCAGCTGAAGTCCATTTTTAACTTGCCTGATAGTAAATAAATGATCTTATTAGAATGCAGAGGGCTTGTGGGATCCAACATGCCACACCTGAGCAATTTACTAGTTGCAAACCCCACGTTTTTATTGAGCTTGGGAACAATAGACACTTGCTTATGAATTATTTTTCTCAGGTTCGTATGTATTTTACATTAAAAAAAAAAACCAAACCCATTGCCCTCATGTCAATTTCGACTCATAGTGACCCTATAGGACAGAATAGAACTGCCCTATAGAGTTTCCAAGGAGCGCCTGGTGGATTCGAACTGCCAACCTTTTGGTTAGCAGTCATAGCTCTTAACCACTACACCACCAGGCTTTCCATGTATCTTAAATAAGCCACAAAAATGCAAATCAAGGTAAGGAGGCTGTGCCCCTTTCTATGGACCTTATTGTTAGGATGGTGCAGGAGCGGGCAGGTTCCTTCTGTTGCACATAGGGTCGCCATTAGTTGGAACTGACTCAAAGGCACTTAGCAACAAGAGCGTATGTATAGGTAAATGAGTTTAACATTTAATTAGCCTTTGTTTACATAGCTTTTTTTTTTTTTAAAAAAAGTTACTAGCATTTTAAAAGAGAAAGCAAGGTATTCAAGAATCAGTGATATAAAATTTACAGCTGTAAGCACTAGTCTCCAAAGCTGTAAAGTAAAACCAGTAAGACACCCACGGGCATGCTTACCAAAAAGCTCGTAAAATATTAACCACATTAGTCATGAACCTAACTCTTGGTTATAAAATGGTTAAATTATCATGAAGAAATTTCAGAATTTTAAGATGAAAATTATCATTTAAAAATTTCCGAAGATCTCCTTTGACCCATGCAAATTTTAAAGAACATATAATTCAAATTAGATCATAAACAGGCGGATACTGTTTCCTCCATATAGGAATTATTATGCATAAAATACTAAAACATATGGAATTAATTTGTTTTAAAAATAACAATATGCGGGAGAATTTTTGGAGCACTTAATTCTATGTATGGATGGCTGCATAAGCCCACTAATGCAAGTTTTTGTTACCAGTTTAAAATTTCTCTTGATTATTCACCTCAGGAAAGGGGGGAGACAGATGCTTTGTATTCTTTTAAAATGTTGACCTATCAGCAATGCTAATAATTCGGCATCTTTACTGATGGTAACTGCTGTTCGTATTCGCTTGGTGCTTATTATTTGCAGCGTAGCCTGACAATGTCTCACATGAGAATGAGGAAAGTCATTTAAGGAGAGTACTGCAATGGTCCGAGTTTCTGGCATACCTCCTCCTGTGCTCCTGGAGTTCCAATGAATAATTTCAGTTATGCTTACAACGCACGATAACCTGATAACATTTTCACACATAACTCTATTGCAAACTTTATGCAGCATCCACTTGATTATGGGCCAGTGTGTTTATTCATAAAATGTTTGGAGTGATAAATATTTAGTGACACGATCTTCTTTCTTTTCTGATACATCACGAGAAAAACTCAAAGGGAAGGGAAAGGATCCCAGGAAACACATTCAACAGGTGTTGCAACACCTGAGCACCGGGGTGAGTGACCCAGCCTTTATCTTTGAGCGTTTGAATTTAAATCTTTGACTTAGCAATCTGTCATGAAGAAAGGAGAAGTGGCTGAATACCTATGACATTTATATTAACCAGAGTGGATACCAGCAGCAAGCAGGGAGAGCGCTTAGTGAATGCAATCGACAATCAGTGGACGCCTTCTCAAGTTGTCTTTTTTCCCTTGTCATGCTTTGTGAGTTTTAATTTGTCCAGGGAATGCGTCCCCTCCGACAAGAAACTGGAGAAGGACGAAAAACAGAAGGTTGATGCTATAAAAGGGTTAATGAACGTTCGCAAGTCTGTGTCCTGATTGAAGGAAGATTCAGAGAACAAATATTTGATGTTTTCCACCCCTCCCCTAATGCCCGCAAAGTGGCTTATAGTCAAGAAAAAGTTCATTGTAACCGGAAAATCACTTTAATAAATCCAAAAATGTAACTAACGAAACGGGATTGACAAGGGGAAACATTTTGAATATAAAGGAATGGACCATGAACACTCCATGGAGAGACAGGTCTTCATTAAACCACTGTGGGCGGCCCGCGAATCCCTCCTTCCGGGTCCGCATCAGCAGCAAAAAGCAAACATCCCAGCAAAAGCAACCAGCGTGGGGTCTGCGCGGCCAGAGCGTCTCGCCGGGAAGCTCCACCGCAGGAGAACGGTCTTTGCTAGATCTTGGCTAGTGTTTCCTTCGCGAAAGAAATGTAAACGCAAGGGCAACCCCCTCTCCCCCCAAGTGAGGTAAGAGTTACCCAGAATCATTTTTTTGTTCCGCAAATGTGGGGATTACGACCTAGTCAGTGCCAGGGCTGCCACCTGTTACATGCGACACTCCCAGCCCGACCGGGAATCGAGGAAACTCCGGTGGACTTTTGCTGGGGAACTGAGGGAGCCACATAATGTCCCGGGAATCCAACCTGCTCAGTTTGGTGCAAATACACGTCTACTCATTTCCGCTGTGGGCATTTGGGTGAGAGTCGGGAAAGACAGACTAGGCAAGACCGCGGAGCACGCTTCAAAATAAAAACACGTGACACCTGGGCAGAGAGAAGAAAACTTCGAGGGCGAGCAAGCACGCTGGTGCCCATGCGCACGTCCGAGCAGCCAGGCCCTGCGCTAGCGCCTCGCGCGCTCTGTGTGACCTCCATGCCCTTCGCAAGGGCCAGGCTCTGGCGCGCGCGCTCTAGTTTCAGGAAAGCTGACCTAAATCCAGGGAGGCCAAGCGTAAGCGGACAGCAGGTCCCGTAGCGTCTCACTGGAACCTGCGCGCCGCGATGTGACACCTGCGCATCCCTGCGCTCCAGCGCTCCAACTTCCCAAACTTCTGGCGGCGCCTTGTTTTGAGCGCCCGTTGGGCGGCAGATGTCCCTTCCGTGGCAAGCCTGGACTCATGGCTGGGGAAGGGCACCCACGACAGCTGCAGGTGAGGAGGCTGCCCCTCAGGCTTGGGATGCTGACCGTCCCTGCGTTTCTGTTCTGCACCCTAGTTAGCCCTTTCCCTCCTCCAGCCCCACTCCGTCAACTGCAAAGGGCTGCCGGGTTTCTGTGCGCGCAGTGAGTTTTAAAGTGAGCATTTGGAAAGGAGTCCTGAGGAAAAGTGGTTTTCCAAACCTTGCTTTATTGGAAACATTGTGTGTTTATGAAAACTCTAACCCAATGTCCAAGTTTGATTACCCCTCCGGGAGCTGGGCGCGCAGCTCAGCTGGAGCTGCTGGCTCGCCAACTGGAGGGGACCCTGACTCGGGCAGGGACAGACCGACGTGGCGCGCGCAGGTCTACGGGCTCAGAATCCGAAATGCCAGACCCAAGCTGACGACCCTGCCACAAGCTGCCCCTAGGTTCGCCTGCCGGCCTGGGTGCGCGGTCCCCGGGGACAACAGGGCGCGCAGCGAATGCGGCGGCGCGGGGGGCATGGGGGCGCGGCTCTGCCGGGGCGCCGCTCTGCCGGGGTCGCTTTCCATCGCCACTGCCCCGGGAAGCCACGCTGCAGCAATCTCCTCGGTGCTTCCCAGCCGTCGCCGCGGCCTGAGCCGGAACGCCACCCCGCACCCCTAGCGGCTCGCGGCCTCTCCCAGCCCCGTCTGGCCGGCGGAAGACGCTGTGCGCGGAGCCCCGGCACGGGAAGCCGAGGGAAGCTCTACCCGAGGGAGCGGAGGCCAGCGGACCGGCCCGCCCCTC